AATGTCCTTCAGTAACAATCTTAAAATGAGCTGCTCAGAACTGAATCCAGTATTCCTGGTCTGGTTGCACCAGAGATGTACAGCGAGGGTCTATTACCTCCCTGCTCTGGGAAGTAATGCCTCTGATTCACTGCTTTGGTGGCATAACATTTCATTAGCCATTCTTGTTTCAATGTCAAGCTAAAAATTTAGGTCATTGGAAGTCACGGATCCTATAATTTAAAAAATTAATGATATTTGACATTTGTATTTCAGTGGAAAAACTTAAGATGCCAAGTAAAAATCTGGGCAGGATGGGAGGCTGAAGGAGAGCAGCAACTCATGAGGGCTAGTGGTTTGTCACGGTAAATTAGATAATAAGTTAAAGTCTGGTCACAGAAAAATGGCAAGAATCAATTTATGGAAAAAATGCCAGAAGTCACAGGTTACATTATTTCAACCAAAATATCCTTTATTTTGCAATGAAAAGCGTTTAACAGCATTTAACTAATAGTTTAATACCACTAGCCCGCTGCTTGCCAGTTCAGACTCACAGCAGCGAGCCGCGGCTGACCCTTCTTCTCCTCTACATGAGCCTTTGCAAAAGGGATGGCGGCAGCAGCAGCAGCATTAGCATTGTACAGAAGCTTCTTATCCAGCTATGCTAGCTTCAATACTTTCCTCAAAAAAATAGTAGTGTCCCAGAATCCATGAAGTCCCTACCCCCAGTCCAGCCATGACAAACCACTAGCCCTCATGAGTTGCTGCTCTCCTTCAGCCTCCCATCCTGCCCAGATTTTTACTTGGCATCTTAAGTTTTTCCACTGAAATACAAATGTCAAATATCATTAATTTTTTAAATTATAGGATCCGTGACTTCCAATGACCTAAATTTTTAGCTTGACATTGAAACAAGAATGGCTAATGAAATGTTATGCCACCAAAGCAGTGAATCAGAGGCATTACTTCCCAGAGCAGGGAGGTAATAGACCCTCGCTGTACATCTCTGGTGCAACCAGACCAGGAATACTGGATTCAGTTCTGAGCAGCTCATTTTAAGATTGTTACTGAAGGACATTCAGAAAAAGCAACAAAAATGACCAGTGCCGGGAGGGACTGACTTATGATGGAAGACTAAAAAGAGCTAAATTAAGAGCTTGGCTGAGTGATGACAAAAAGGGACATGATAAATTGACATTCTGAAGTATGTAAACACCAAGGAGAGAGACTTATTGAACTAGTACAAAGGGATACAACTAATAGTAGGAGGATGAAATTAAAAGGGAAAATTCAAACTAATTAGAACTAAACTGGATGAAGAACTAAGTAACGCACTGTAGGGAACAACCCTGCATTGTCAGGGAGATGGACTGGATGACATAGTAGTTCTTTTTCATCTCCAGCTTCTGTAGTCCCCTGAAATGACTCTCTTACTGTACTACTTAACGTAAGCACAGATACTTGTGACATTAACACTTGTTCAGACAGCTGCCCTAGCTGAAAAGTGATTTACACTGCTGCATAAGTACTAGATATCAAACAATTATGGTTTGGAAACATTTACACTTTTACAAGTAGGGACAAATTCTACCCTTGGATGTGAGGCTCCCCTTGCAGTTAAAAAGAGTGATACAGGAAGGCAGAATCGGGCCCTATGTGTTACATAACAACTGCCAATGTGGCCACTAATTTTCTCACACATCCTTCCTTTTCCTTTGTAGCACATTTAAACATGTATTGGTGGCACAAACACTGAAATGAATAAGGTATCAACTCACATTGCAAGGCAGTATGGCACACCTGTCATATCATCCAGCATAGAAAAGGATGGTAACATTATTTATGAACTGGATGTCTTTGTCCAGAGATCTAGTGCTATAGCTGATCAGTCAAGAAAAATTAATGGTGAGAGATGAGAGAGTTCCCCAAACCAACCAAGTCCTTACCTTTTCTACATGAATTCAGCGAGAACATCTCTGTCAAAGTGAAAAG